AGGATGAGAGGGGATGGGAGGGAAAGCAGCCGCTCCCCGGGATGGGATGGGGTGGGACGGGATGGGGCCGTGCTGCCCCCACCACCTCGCCCATCTCTGCTCCCCACTGCTGCGGGTCCCCGCCTGCCCTTGGGCCAGGGATGATTTTTTTCTCCTCCGAGCGCTTACGCATGCGGGACGATGAGTACGTCAGGAACCACCGTCGCAGCTTTCCAGCGGCGAGATCTCCTTCGCCACCGCGCTATAAAACTCCCCGCTTCTCCCCCTGGGTTTGGGAGAGCCGGCATCTCCCGCAGAGTCAGGACTGCGCGAACAGGAGAGAAAACCCAGCTTTTCACGACAATCCTTACCCGTTTCTCTCTCTTTCTGCTTTAAAGCTGGACGGCTGCATCGGTACCGCTGCTACAGAGAGGAGCTGAAACCCAACCGCTGGAAAACCCTCTCCACCTCCCCCGGGTTCCTGATCGCGGTGCTGGGAAGCCCTCGGTGCTATGCTACCCTGCCACACGCGCAACTTAAGGCACCCATCCAAGGTAACGTACGGCTCTGGGCGCACGTGGTTGGGGAAGGGAAGATAAACAAGGCTCGGTCCTGTACTGAGAGGCAAAATAAAGTACAAAATAAAGTGTGGAGCTCTTATGGAGCAGCCCGGTATTTGCTAATTTGGAAAAATTAAGCAAATTAAGGTTTTTCTTACCCTAAATAGCGGGGAACCGGCTGCGGTGAAAGGAAAAGAGCACGGAGCTGCTTTTAGTGCTGGAAGAGGGGGATCAACGTGGGTTTGAGAAGCATCATTTGGGAAAGGATGCTTTGTGTCCGCGGGAGCCACATGGGGGCAGCGGCAGGTCCCCAGTATCACCACTGCTCTGCTGCTGGGGCTGTGGGGGGGGATAATTTATGGTATTCAAAATAGCCACGGATTCTGTAACTCAGCAGCCACATCTGCTGCCTCTGCCCCTGCGAGAGGCCGTGCTAAGGGCTCTCCGCGCTCTCTTTGCCGCAGTGGATGTTTGCCCCTCTCCTCCTCTTGCTGGCTGAGCTGTGCTCCGGCAGCAGCCGCCGCACGTACCAATGGAAGGACGCCGTGACGGGCGAGAAGCTGACGTGCCAGCAGTGCCCCCCGGGGACCTTCGTGGCCCGGCACTGCACCAGGGACGCGCAGACGACGTGCGAGCCCTGCCCGGATCTGCACTACACGCAGTACTGGAACTACCTGGAGAAGTGCCGGTACTGTAACGTCATCTGCGGGGAGAAGCAAGTGGAGGTGCAGCAGTGCAACGCCACCCACAACCGCGTCTGCCAGTGCCAGGAGGGATACTACTCCGAGATGGAGTTCTGCATCAGGCACTCCGAGTGCCCGCCGGGCTCCGGCGTGGAGAAACTGGGTGAGTACCCGGGCTGCGTCCGTGCGAGTGAGGCTTGTCACGTCCCAAAAATCTCTGCTTGAGCGAAAAAACCAAGCGGAAAGCAGCTGATAATTGCCCATAGCCTGACTTTGTTCCCTTTTTGCTCACCAGCGCGATGCTATCCTTGCTGGTGAGTGAAAATGTCCTGATCTCTTTTGCAAGGAGCAATTTTGGGGTTCTTTTTCCTCCACTTTTGCTTTGAAATCCCCCAGCCCCACGCTTCTACGGGACACAGCAGCCCTGGTGACCTGCTTTACCTGCGGGCAGAGCCGGGCTGTGATTTCCCCCATCCCCGCAGAGGCAGCAGCTCGTCCTGACGGAGCTCAAGGGTGGACAGGTCCAAGTGGCCCCTGCTCCTCTGTGGGCTCCTGCTCCTTGCAGATAGGGAGCGGGAAATGCCGATTATCTGGTCCAAAAAGTGCTGCTAATGCTGCAAGGGCAAGATTGGTGAATGGTTGTAGCTCTGAGGCTGGATTTCCTGGGTTTTTTATTGAATAATTTGGAGAGGCTGTATTTTAAACATTAAATGGATACAAGGACAGCTCTCAAGTCCACAGAATCAGCCTGGTTTCTATTCACGAGTCCAAGACTCCATTCCCTGGTGAGATATAAGTCACGAGAGCTCTCTGAGGGTTCATTTTTTCTGTTGTTTCCCCATCACAACTTTGTCCCATCCCTCGGCTGCCTCCGTCCGTGTGTGCACTTTCTAAAAATACAAATTGCCTACAGTTTCCCTCTCCTGAATCACCAGGCCCTGCCTGGAAACCGCAGCTGGGTCGAACACCCCAGCGTGGGCAGCACCAGCAAAACCAACCTTGTTTTGCTTTGTGCTTTGAAGTGCAGAGGCTTTTGAAGTCCTTCCGTGCATGAAGTGGGAGAGCTCCACGCTCACAGACCGGAGGAGAAACTCCCCTGTGTCTTCAGCTGATGCTTGCGGTTGAGATTTGGGGTTAATTTTTCTATAGGACGTGACTGTTAAAAGTGCAGCAAAAGGTGAGCGGAGTCTCCAAGCAACGTGGGGAAGCCCTTTGAAATTAAACATCAGGTTTGGCTGGAGGACTGAGGAGCCATTCGAGCAAGCTGGAGCAAGCTGAGAAGCTGGGTTTTTTTGTTATTATGATTTATTTTTTTTCCAAATGGCTTCTTGCGTGGGGGCTGATGGTGCCTCAGTGCAGGCATCTGAACCCCACAGCAAGGACCAGAGCCCTGGGGCCGTGAGCGCTTGTGTCTGGACGGGGACGATGGGGACCCTGTGGCAGTGGGCAGACCTCGCTGGCTTTGGGGTGGGATGGGTGCTTTGATCCCTGTGTGGTTTTTCTGGGGACATGAGCTTATTTTGGGTTTCTCATTTGCAAATGTTGACTCAGGTGTTGGGCTGACCGGGACTTCTGGTAAAGCCAAAGCGATGGCCTAAAGTGGGTTTCGATGGAGTAGAAACCTGGTTCTTATGTAGATAAATGATGAGGAGATCAGAGAATCATTAAGGTTGGAAAAGCCCTCTGAGACCATCAAGTCCAACATCAACCCAACCCCACCATGGCCACTAAACCGTGTCCCCAAGTGCCACATCCACCACTTCTTGGACCGCTCCAGGGATGGGGACTCCCCCACCTCCCGCGGCAGCCCCTTCCAGTGCTTGACCACTCTTTCGCTCCGGGGATGGGGCCTCCCCCCCCCCCCTGGCCAGCCCCTTCCAGTGCTTGACCACTCTTTCAGTACAGAAATTTCCCCCAGTATCCAACCTAACTCTGTCCTGGCACAAAACGAAGAGGGTGTGAAGTTCGCTGCCGCCAGGGCCTTTCCCTGCTCCCCCAAGGAAGGTGCGAGGCACCCTGGTGCAATCTGGCTCACGTGGCACCGTCCCTGTGAAGCAGCCACGGCTCTGGCCCCGAGCCGGGGTGGGTGGGAAACTGCAGAAGCCAGCGCAACTTTCGCCTTCTTAGGGACTTTTACTTTCACTTGGCCAGGAGCCTCCTGACTTCACTGTGAATCACGCAACAGCTCGGGCTGGAAGGGCCCTTAAGTATCATCCGAAATCCAAGGGCTGGTTTGGCTCTCGCCTTACCCATCGTCCCAGCTGGTGTCTGCTGCCCAGGAGATGGCCCCTTTCGGTAGCAGATGGGATGTCCCATTCTGTCTGGAGGATGGTGGCAATTCCTCAGCATGTGCCAAATGCTTTGGCTTGGGAAATGACTGGGGCAAGCGTTGCTGGTTGCCCTACAAGTGATTCCTGGCAGAGTTAGAGGCTGTGATCGCCTCCAAAACATTACCCTTGGATGGTGTCTGGCACCGTCCCCTGCTCCCTTGCCAGTTTGTCCCCCCAGGCTGACGGTCCCTTTTCCTCCAGGTACCCCCTTCAAGGACACCCAATGCAGCCCCTGCCCCCGCGGCTTCTTCTCCGCCTCCGACTCCAGCACCAAGCCGTGCCAGCCCCACCAGGACTGCGAGCAGCAGGGCAAGGTGACCAACGTGCAGGGCAACCAGTACCACGACACCCTCTGCACCTCCTGCAGGCTGGGCAGGAGCAACAGCACCCAGGGACCAGGTGAGACACGGAGTGGGGGACACTGGGACCACGGCGCTGCCGGGGCGAGAGCAAAGTTTCTGGTGGGTTTTTGCTGTGTAGATACGAAATAGCTTGTGAAAAGTAGGGCGAGTCGTAATTAATAGTGATTATGGATAAAATAGAGAGTTTCTGCCTTATTTTCCCTCCAGGGTTAGTCATGTCAGGCAGGGACAGGGTGCAGGGCTTAAGCAACGGCTGCTGCTCAGCGAGATCAAAGAGCTGGCAGTGAAATCCTCCCAGTTCGCACCGGGGACTGGGATAACTGGGTATGCTGGGACATCAGCTGGTGGTGATCACCGGTGCCTGGCAGTGGTGTGAACAGAGGCAGTGTCACACTCGGTGTCCCTCTTGCTCCCAGCCTGGCTCCGGGAAGGTTTCATTGCGGCCGCAGCCTTGTCCCATGCAGCAGGGGCAGAGCAGGGGCCAAGGTACAGTAGAGGTTCTGTGTAGGGTGGATTTTGACCTCTTAGCTGGAAAAAGTAGGGCGAGGATTTTAGCTGTTCACCGTAATAGGGCAAACAGCGTTGAGCCTCGGTGGAGGCTGAGGGTTGGGCAGGAGCTGGCACAGATTGGGCAAAGGAGTGGGGAGAGTGCTGGGCTGGCCCTGGGGTGCTTTGTAATGTGCACCCCAACGAGTTAGGGGGTGAGAAAGGGGCCAAAAACCATCTCAAGGGCCTGATGTCAGTTGAGGGGAGGCAGGCAGCCGTTTTGAACCACCCGCTTTGCCCTGAGCATCCAGCCAAGGTAAATGGGACACAAATTCAAGGTGGCCGATGTGGGTGGCAGTGGACCAGCGCCCTTGGACTTCCAAAAATAATCAGTCATAGAGCCATAGGAAAGCCCAGGCTGGAAGGGACTTAAAAAGTTCACCTGGTCCGACCTTTCATGGCAAAAAGAGCCTGGCTGAGATTACCCAGCACCACATCCCGAAAACCTCCAGCGATGGGGACTTCATCACATCCCAGTATAAAAAAAGGCTTTAATCCGTCACGACGAAGCTCAATAGAGGAGCTGCAATGAAAGCTGCTCCTTGGCAGCGACACAGCCAGGAGGCCATAGCCCTGAGAGGAGCCCTGGCCTCTCCATCCTACACGGGGCTTTCCTCCTGACGCAGCCTGACTCACGCCACCGGCGCTGGGGCGAGGAGGCTCCGTCATCCACGGGACACGGTCCCGGGGCCAGAGGAGGAAGGTGCGGTGAGATGTGAGCATCATCAGCCGCACGTGCGGCTCGTGAGGCAACGGCCCCAGACTGGCCCTGCAGCTATTTATAGAGATTCATTCGTCACTGATGGGAGCGAGGGGTCTATTTTTAGCTCCGGTTCATCGTGACTTCACGCGGGAGGCGCGCAGGCACCTGCCTCCCTCCCCGCTGCGGCTGCGAGTCGGTATCAACCCCAAATCTGGGCATGGGAGCTCCACCCGCCCCGCTATAACCAGTGAAATCCTTCCCAGTTTACCGTGGCACGAAGCTGGGCTGGTTTCTCCTGGCCTGAGTCATCGTTTGGCCTTGGTCTGGTGCAGATCCTTGCTGATTTCATGCCTTCCCGCTGGCCGCGCTCCAGCAGCGGCGCTGGATCCAGCTGGGAGCAGCTCTGTCCAAACGCCCCGATTTGGGCTGCGCCCGGGGCTTGTCCTGTCCTGAGATGTGCAAATCTGCATGGGAAAATGGAAACCTTTCAGGAAAAAAATAACATGTGTCGGTGTTTGCTGCGGTTTCTTTGGTTTTTCTGGAGTTTCCCTCTCCCCCTGCTCCCCGCCGGGGAGGAACAGGCAAGAGGTGCATTGAGGTTTTTCAAAATCGCAGGGATTACGGGAACTTTTGCACATCGTTTTCTAACTGCCCCGGAGAGGATGGGCCACTGCTGGGAAATCCAGCCCTGCGGGGCAGAGAGGGGCCTCGGCCCGATAACGATGCCGTGTTCGGTGCTTTCCTCCTCCTTCTTCCTTCCAGCCTCATTTTTTCCACTTGCAACATGCGTATTCTGACCTGCTCGTTCCGCCGCACACCCGTGGGCTCTTCCTCCTTGATTTAGGCAAAGGATGAGCCCCTGCCAGCCGGAGGCTGCTGCATCCTCAGGCAGGGACTTGCTGTTGGTCCTCGGCTCATGTTCAGGGCTGTAGGTGGCCCCATGAGCTAAAATGTACCCCCTGAATTTGGAAGATGGGTGGTGAGCGACAGATTTCCCAGTGGGGCTCAATGACTGGGACCCCTGGTGCCCAGATGAGGACAATGTCATAAAATCATTGACTGGTTTGGGTTGGAAAGGACCTTCCATGGGCATCTTCAGGGACATCTTCACCTCCATCAGGTTGCTCAGGTCCAACTTGACCTCGAGCGTTTCGGATGGTGCATTTACCACCTCTCTGGGCAGATGTGGGGCTGTGACCTCCTCTCCCTGTGTCCTGTGGTCACCTTTCCTGCTTTTCTCCATTCCCCCAGCTCTAGGAGGCGACGACTGCGAGCAAGCCATGATCGACTTCGTGGCGTACCAGAACATCCCCATCAGGAAGCTGAAGCGCCTGCAGCAAATCCTGGAGCGCTCGCCCAGGAAGCAGGCGCTGGGGACCAGGGCGGCCATCCAGGAGAAGTTCAGGACTTTCCTCACCCATCTGAAAGAGGGGCACTACGGGGTCACCAAGGAGCTGCTGGAAGCTCTGCGAGCCACCAAGCTGCACTCCATTGAGGAGAAGGTCCGTGAGCGCTTCCTCCTGGCCTGAGAACACCAACTGGACTTTTCGGGTGGTTTTTCGTTTTGTTTTTTTTTTTTTAAATGCTGTGGCTTCATTAATTTATTAATCTCTCCAAACCTCACTTGAAACGCCGCGGTAGAGCTGAGCGCTGGGTCCTGCTCTGCGCGCGGCTGCATCCCTGCCCTCCGGGATGGGATGCTGAGAGCAGCCGCATCC